TGAATTGGCAATATGTCAAACAGATTGTCAATCCGAGAGAACGGATTGTATAAATCAAGAACTCGGTTTACTTTTATAAATTTTAAAAATTCTATGTCCCTTCATGGCTTTCATAGATTTCATACCTGCATGGCTGCCAGGGTTGTAAAAAGAAAGGAGACAATAGACTGCAATGTCACTTCAGGGCAAAATTCCTGGCGCAAGGCTGTTTGTGAGCATGGGAGTGTTGATAAACCATCCAGTGAGTTTGACCACCCATGTATATGATGTAGGATAATTGAAAAGTGTCTGAAAAATTGAGAAAATGGAAATTGTAACCACATACTTCATGCAGATTGGAACTTACAACAGCAGTCTATAAAAACAGTTTGTTCCATATCTCAGCATTCATTCAGATAGATATTTTATGTTTAAATAATGTGTTTGTATGAATAATCAAGCATCATAAGTATTATGTGTTTTGAACACTTATTTTTCAAAATATTAATCAAATGTTTATAAACTTGTATGAATGCGATATCATGAGAATGACACAAATGAAATTAGACTTTATTTTTTTAAATTTTAGAAATACAGAAATTTTCAATACCAAAACAAAAATTTACCTGTTCATTGGTGTCCTTACATATTAATTAACCTTCGTAGTTCATGGTGGGCTTAGAAAATGGGTATTCACAGATGAAAGTATTGTTGCAATGCTGAAAGCACCCTAAAATTTCAATGTGAAAGTGGTAGTCATGTACACCTGTACACACTGGTACATAGATACTGAAAACAACTATCCATTATTATGAAAACTTTGATTTTACTTTGAACTTACGAGTGATTGTTAAATTGAGCATCAAAGTTCAAAAGCAATGCAAAATTGGCTGAACGATACGAAACACGCACACTGAAACATAAAGATCTAGTACATGTGTACATTTAGTTTTCTTTTGAACGTGAACTATTGCGTTTTAAACTTAAACTTTTCAGTCAATATACACGTATTCTTACCTGCTAATACCAAAGGCATGTTCGTATTATTTGATTCATTGATGTGATGATCTTCGTCGTGAAATAATCATGAAAATTGACGTTCAGATTTCGGATCACCATTATGTTTACACCAAAGCGGAAACACGTGTTTATTTCAATTCGTATCAACTCATACAGTGATGAGTCGTATTTATTTATAAATGCGAGTTTTTGTATTGTAAAATATAGATCTAATTAAATTGCAAATTAATAAGTATACAGTATAACAAGATACAACAATATTAAAAATCTGATTGATTTTTTTCTCAGTAAAGATCGCCGTTTTGGAAATCTACAATTTTCATCAATATTGTATATCACTTCATGAAATATACATCATTACAATCAACATTCACTTCACAAAAGACAGAACGAAAGTATATATTTGTTTTTTGAAATCTATTTTTTTTTGTATTATGCATTTATTTCAGTAAAAAATATATTTGAATGGTCAAAAAAGTCTTATAAAAGAATATGTTGTTTCGAGTAAGACGCAACAATATCGACCTTGACGTTACATGTAAATATTGACCGATTTTTCCATAAAAACTATGCAAAGGTCACAAATTCAAATTATCGTAATTAAGAAAATACTGAGCGGAAGAAGGCCTATAAGGGCTTGTTGGAAAGGAAATTTTCTCTACTTTTACCAGCTTTATTTTGTTTTCCCTATTTCAACACAGAAATAAACGTAAAACTGAGCTTTGTTTAAATATTACGAATAAAATCGATAAAAAACACATAAGTGCAAGAAAATTCTTGTTTTTAAAATATACCTTAAAGTAATAACAATAATTTTTACATATTCTAAAAGTAGAGAAAATATTCTTTAAGAATATACCATGCTTTCTTATCAAGTTAATCAGGAAAAAAATTGTCAATCGTCTGGAAATTCGGCAATCGCTTTGGAAAATTACGCCATTTTCAAAAAGTCTCGTTTGTCTTTACAACGTAAAATCGATTAAATACCGGCAATCGAGTATAATCTTTTTAGATATTTTAAAAGTGGAGAAAATTTCCAAAAAGATGATATATAGCTTATATACCTTCATGCTACCACAAAATAGATACGGAGATCTTATTTTCGCGAAGTCCTGTTTAACGCGCCATCGGTCAATTTGACCGGTACGGAAGTGAAGGGGTTAAGGTTTATGACAATTTGACTGGACTATTAGATAGGAAAGATAAAAAAACATGTTCTAAAAATGTATATTATTATTATGATTTTGTTGTCTTCGCAACCTTTTATCTTACAAGAAAGGGGTACCCCCTGTATTGCGAAGTTTGGGGCTTTCCCCGGAATTAACACATCAAATTCGTAAACCAATCAACACTACATTTAATAAAACAGATAATACTTTTAAAAATGCTCCTATCATTTTTTACTTTTGGGACACATATACTGTATTTGAAGACAGGCAAGTTGACTAGTCTTCAAAATTCCAATTACATACATTTAGAGAATTTGGAGAAATTGTGCACTTTTCCCTGTCAAAAAATTAGTTTTTTTTTTAAAAGGATTTGAAAGAATAAATTATTGCCTACTTACAACTTTCACATCGTAATAATGTACAACATAAGATTACTTTTGTCTCATTAATATACTACAATTTGTGAAGTATGAAATCCTTATTGATGTATAATATAAAACTTCCGCTTGTTCCCATAATCGTTATGCGGATACCAGAGGTAACAAAAAGTTAATAAGACCAGCTGGGGCTCGTTTCTCAAAAAGGCCTACGACCAGTCGTAAGCTTAGTCCGGACTAAATCAGGGTCTAAACCCGACAATCGGACTAAGTTGCGTTCACAAAAGGCGGAGACTTAGCCGAGACTAAATTGTGATTTAAATCTAGGCCTGCTCGTGAGTAGGCGTAAGTTCTTAGTCTGTACACAACTTGGAAAAGGGGCATGTGATTTAATCATAAAGAGTTAAAAGAAAGATTATTTTATGCGTATACGATATAATACCTATTTATATACATGTACATAATTATACGATATGCCAAAAATCGTGAAAATTATACTGTATTATGTAGGAAATTAGAAAGGTAGTAAAGTAAATCCATATCGAAGATGCAGACTTTTTCTGCAAGGTTGGGGTGAACTAGAAATTTTTAACTAAAAATTCTTAATACAAGTTGGGTAAGATTTCTTAAAGAAGTGCCAGAATTTCTTTTTTAAATACACACGCGTAGGGGGTGTATGTACACATGTTGGCGCGTGCGTGTGTGTGTGTGACTGGGGGCCCCTATCCCTAACCCTATCTGCCCCCTTGTCAAGATTTCTGAATCCGCTACTGCTATAGCTAGTATGTAAATGTTTTGACCTTGAAAATACAGATGGATTTGTGCATTATATATGTTTGAAAGACGATGAAAAGCCAGGGAAAACATGAAAGCTCCTTCGTGCTTCTTGTGCTTTCTTAGTAATCAGGTTCATGTGTGATCCGCCACATGTTATTGTAGTCTCTAAACCAAATAAAATATGATTTGCGCATGCTTAGTGCCTAGCGGAAAGGTCTAAGTCTCAGGCCCAGTCTTACGCCGTTTTCTGAAACGTGATTTAGGCCCGTCTAAATTTTGGCGTTACTTTCCTTTTTTCGGACTAACTTAGACTCAAATCTACGACTTTTGAGAAACGAGCCCCTGAGGTCACTTTATATTGTACATCACTGTAGGGGGCAAGAAGTCACCTTAAATTGTGCATCAGTAGGGGGACCAGGGGTCACCTTATATTGTACATCAGCAGGGAACCAGGGGTCAATAAATAATGTCCAGGGGCCCGTTTCCTCAAAAGTGGTAAATTTAAGCTTCACCTTAGCGCACTTCCGGGGCTTACGCCAAAATTTAGTCGGGCCTAATTTGCATTTCACCAAGCGGCGTAGGTCTAGTCGTATAAGATACGCTTAGTCACAGGACTAAAGTCCTTGGCAACGTTGCATTGCACAGGCGCTAAAACATAAACATATTGCCCAATGCGTACAGAATGTACAGAATAACAGAAATTAAAGATAAATGAATACTTGTACTAATTGAAACATGCATGGATTTATAGTGTTATGTAGGAGACATGTATCTTATAAGAAATCTTTTTCAGTTTTTTTACATTTCAGTAATAAAAGTCTTATAAATTGAAAGGAAGAAAAGGACCGTTCATGTATATGTATTTCAGAATTAAACTAAACTATTTCTTTTGGAATTTTAATAACAGCCCCCCCACCCTCTTCCCGAAAAACAGATTAATGATTTCGCCTTTTGTAATAAATTTCATGATTCGCTAAATACTGATTCTACTGATAAATATTTTAATTGAGTTTGAGACAGAATAAGATTTAATAACTTTTTTTTCATACAGATGCAAACGGCTTATATATGAAAATATTTTGAGTCAAGAAATAAATTTTACACGTTTACTACTAGGGTACATATAAGATAATCCTCTCTAAATTTATTAAATTTTTGTCAGTTCAAATGTTTCATTATAATATTCTTATTGTTTAATAAAATGACACAAAAGTTCATAATATTTTATGAAATACTAGACTCTAGGCCGCGCAGTTATAGAAAAAAATCTTTACTTTCTGCAGATTAAATGTAATGTAACTTTTAAAAGATTGCAGAGAGTGAGAGAGAGTAAGACAGAGAGAGAGAGATTTGGAAAAATGACTACTGAAATATTAAAACATCTTTAATCTTCATGACTTGGTCTAAAAGAGTAAATTTTACATATGTAACCAGGGTTATGTATTATTTAATGCCGTACTATACTTGCGCTGCGTACATGTGAGAATGTGGTGTGTAAGACTTTGTGTAAATGAGGTAGCTGTTATTTTTAGACACAGGACAGACGGTCACATGACTTTATCCCATTCACCAAATGCCCGCTTTCACGAACTAGGACAAACACCACTAAATGTTTTCCCATAGACTTCCATACAAACTTGAGCCCCGGTCACTCATACATATATTGAATTTCGGGCAAATGGCCTTTTTGTCGTGAAAGTTCGAGATATTGGAAAAGAAAACATGACAGAAAAAATATACCGTCACGCGGCACTTTTACTTTCAATTTCCATTTGTTTACAACAAGGTGCGTTTGACACCAAATGAAAATCTCTAACCAAAGAGCACCCCTCCTTTCAAATTTTTACCTGTAACTCCTACATATCTCAAAGAAACCCAAGTCTTGATATTACATTTTTATCAGCTTTATTTCACTTGTCAAATACATAACAAGTCTTTTCTCTTATTGACCAATCACGCGCCAGGTAGCATTTTCTCCTCCGCACAACTTTGGGTGTCCAAAATGTCTGCGCCCATGTATTTGTTTATGTAGGGGTTTTTCCTATAGAGTAAAAGAAACATTAATAAAAAGTGGTCAATTTAGTAAATTAAGAACACATATCCATTACTTATCTTACCTCTTGAATATTGGGACTGACAGTCTTAGTTTAAGTACACCATTGGCTGTTACATCTCACACCCCAGTCAATCAGACCCTCATCTGTAAAACAGAAAATATGTCAATAAATTGAAGCATTTTTCTATTTTTCTCTCAAACTTTTAAAATAAAATGATTAATCTTGCATATGTTTTGCTTGTTTTTCTTATTATCTCTAATAAATTCTCAAGGTAGATCATGTTAATCATTCAGGGTAGCAGGTACCCGTTATTAATGAAAAATGAAGAAAATCAGCAGGTTTTTGTAAGAAAAAGCTGGGTTGTGGAAAGAGTGAAATCTAATGTAGATAAAATAAACAATGGAAAGAAAGAGAATTATATGTAGTTCAAATGTACATACGATAAAGAAAAAATCTATCAGCAGTGGGTTGCTGGCATCAGAGAATCAAATACATCCCCACTGAAAATTTTGTAATTTTGAAGGGGGTGACCTACATTTTAGCCAATTTTAATGGACATTTCATGGAATTGATGTTAAATATGTATATTCTCATGAAAGGCAAAGATATTCATTTGCATATCATTTCTTATTATTGACATAATTAATAAATTGATTAAATGCCAAGGGCAGATAAATCATATTGTCTAATTGAATACAGTGCTCAATTGTAAGCAAAGTGCTTAAATAACTGCAGTTCTGAAGAAATTTATTTTCTAATAATCTATCATAAGTTCTAAATAATTTAATTAAGAAGAGATTAACTAGATTTTCTAGGAAAACCATACCTTGGAACTCTTAATGAAAGCAAAGGGACCATCCTGAGAGTGTCCATGTGTTGTTCATTGTAAGAGGGGAGGGTTCATTAATCTCCTCCTTCTTGAGAATGCATCGCTGAAATACATTTTATTTTATTAAAACATACTGATAAATGCATTTAGTAGCTTATATTATAATTTTTTATTATTTACACCATCTTTTGAATTTTTTATAAGCATTAGTGATGAAATAGCTTTAAAATATTCACGATTAAATAGAATTTACTCAGATAATTATTTTTAAAAATATCTAAGAAATTGAAAAAAATAACTGCAGATAAGCATGACTCTTGTTGTTCAAATAAACCACATTTTAAAAAAATTCCTTCATTTTCCAGCATCATAAGAGTACAAAATTACCCCCCCCCCCCCTCTTTTCTGCAGAATAACAAGATTGGATATGGCAAGGAGGAAGGCTATTCAGACACTTTTTTCATCATTTTTGCAATAATAATTTTGCAAATTTCTTAGATTTTCAATGTATTTTCTGCTAAAATATATTTTACAGTAATCTCAACTAAATTTCCTACTAGTAATCTCTAAGTTTTCCCCAAACTATAATTTTTATATCAAGCCAGCACTGATTACAAGACTGAAATTGGCTTTGTTGCTGGATTAGGCCCCTTAAGTAAAAACAAAGTAACCTAATTACTTAACAGCAGTCTACTTTTGTTATAAATTATTCAATCAACTCTAATTTACACAAATTTGAAAGAGGATTACTCAACCTGTTCCAGTGTCTGCACTCATAAAATAAATGGATTTAAATGAATTTCTCAAACTGCGAGGGGGATATTCATATGTTCTGTGTATTGATGATGCCCATAAACATCAATATTGTATTATTTACAATATTCACAGTAAATTTCAGCAGAAATATTTATTTAAAATTATTTACATGTACATTTATTGAAAATATGAGAGCTAGGGCAAAAATTTTAGCATTTTTTCACCATGTGCAGCCCCCATTGTGGGCCTCAATTTACCCAAACCCTCTATTTTTTTAAGAAATAGTAAAAACTAATTAAAATATGATCTCAATGCCAAAAAAATAGGAACTGATTGATTTTTTGACTGTAATCAATGTTTTTCCATGAAATACATACCTATTCTATAGGACAAACACCACTAAATGTTTTCCCATAGACTTCCATACAAACTTGAGCCCCTGTCACTCATACATATATTGAATTTCGGGCAAATGGCCTTTTTGTCGTGAAAGTTCGAGATATTGGAAAAGAAAACATGACAGAAAAAATATACCGTCACGCGGCACTTTTACTTTCAATTTCCATTTGTTTACAACAAGGTGCGTTTGACACCAAATGAAAATCTCTAACCAAAGAGCACCCCTCCTTTCAAATTTTTACCTGTAACTCCTACATATCTCAAAGAAACCCAAGTCTTGATATTACATTTTTATCAGCTTTATTTCACTTGTCAAATACATAACAAGTCTTTTCTCTTATTGACCAATCACGCGCCAGGTAGCATTTTCTCCTCCGCACAACTTTGGGTGTCCAAAATGTCTGCGCCCATGTATGTGTTTATGTAGGGGTTTTTCCACTAACATCTGGCACTCTGAGCCTAGCCGTTGAATTGGTTAGATGTCTACTATATAATCATTTTACAGATAGTAATATTTGTAAATCCCTATGTGTGTCCCGGTTTTTTGACATCTTATCACATCGTTAATAAATATAATTGAACCTGAACCAGATTGTTATTTCTGATGTTCTACCACTGGCTACACATAATTTAAGATAATCTGAGTGCATTTAAAGCACATGTAAAGACAGAGACCGCACAAGCAGAAAAATTTTGTAAGAATATCTTTAAAAAATTTTCTGCTTGTGAAGTCTCTGTCTTTAAAATTAAGTTACAGCTACTCTTTATTTTGTTTTCATTCAAAATGTAAGTTATGCGGGAAATCAAAAACTTGCATATTTTCATCTTATATGTGCTTTAAATGCACTCAGATTATCTTAAACTATGTAAAATTAAAGATGTTTTCTACATCAATGTTTGTCTGAAAAAAAAAATAGGAATGATTCATTCTTGAACTTAACAATGTGATTAACACCGTCTTACATCGATATTATAAAAGCTATATAATATATTTCCTAATTTCAAAAATTTCTTTATCTGTTTATGAGACCCTCCCCTCCCTGGGTTCCGTCTTAGATTCGCCGGTAACCTCACTTGTCCCAGATATCTAGAAAAATAATAACTTTCGTCCTGAACTGAGTACTTTGTACATAAAATGTTAATTAACCTGCAAATTCGGGAGGTTCTGAACCCTCTCTCCGACCCCCTCTAGACCCACGCATGTGGACGAAGAGTAATAAGAAATGGCTTCTTCAAACATGATAAAAAATATTTGATTCTAAGATGGTTTTTTTTAAGCTTTTCTTCAATGTAGAAAATTACCAGAAAAAGGATTACTGTGATTTTGAAACTGATTTCAGTGGTATGAGAGGAGTTGCGGATAGAGAAGGGTACCCCCAAAGCGTAACAGTTGGACGGACATCCCGATAACTACGTATAACTCGTATATAGTATATATCCTCCCGCTTTTCAAGCGGGGTGTAGAAATATAGTTATATATATGTATGGTTGATTTACAATATTTTATACATACAATACTACTATCGAATGTGTATGAACGCATTGTCAAAACGTAAGAAATGGTGATCGAAGAAATCTCTAATAAGACAATCTTTTCTTCTCAGCAGAAAGTTATCAAAATATCAAGTACGTTATTAATCAACTTAACTACTTCCCTAAGTGGTTGTAACACCCCCTCCCTCTTCATAGTATGTATAATTAAATAATGCATTGTTTGTATTTTAAATTCTTCTTAGAACCGTACTTTTTCTTTAAAACTCGCTAAATTGTTTTAAAATCAGTAAAAAGGCTTTATTTTTACTTTACGCCTACTTAGAGTAGACGTAAAGGTTTGGCCTAAATTTAGTCAGGCGTAATGATACGCTCTTTAATGAAATGCAAAACTTCGTGCTAGTCCCAACTTTACGCCGGCATAGCGCTACGACTTGGCGTACGACCTTTGATGAAACGGGCCCCTGGAGCTCGTTTCTCAAAAAGTCGTAGATTTGGGCCTAAGTTAGTCCGACTAAGAAAGTTACGCCAAAATTTAGTCGGGCCTAAATCACGTTTCAGAAAACGGCGTAAGACTGGGCCTAAGACTTAGACCTTTCCGCTAGGTACTAGGCATGCGCAGACCGTATTTTAATTGGTTTAGAGAGTACAATAACATGCGGCGGATCACACTTAAACCTGATTACAAAAAGTAAAGCACAAAAAGCACGATTTTTCACTGGCTTTTCATCGTCTTTCAAACAAATATAATACACGAATCTATCTGTATTTTCAAGGTCAAAGCATTTACATACTAGCTAGTATTAGCGGATTCTGAAATCTTGACAAAAGAGCCAGATTGGGTTGATTAGGGGCCCACAGTCACACAAAAAATTGATTGAGCAAATCTTTTTTTTATTATTTTGGACACAACCCCCTCCCCTTCTACAACCACAACTTTTATATTAAATAGTTTTATGTATTTTGGTATGCTCAGATAAATTTAAAAGTGAAATATATACTATAGAAAAATATAAACTTGTATACCCGGTATTATATACCTACTTACGAAAATTTGGAATAAAAAGAAATTTTTCTTATGAGTCCCATAAATTATATGGCATGGGGTTGGAACAGGCTCGTAGCAATATATTTGAAAGTCGTGGGGGGGGGGACCAGTATCTCAGGCAGTGGCGTAGCATCGTTTCTGAAAGTGGGGGGGGGGGGCAGGCAGAGAAATTTTTTTTTTACTTACCTAAAACGTTGACAAGCAAAAAGAAAATTAAATAAAATAAAAAATAAAAAAGGAAAAGTTTGCCAAAGTCGAAAATCCTATTTCGTGGGGGGGGGGGGGTACATAGTGATGTTCATTCTCGGAACATCACTAAAAGTCTAAAACTGGGGGGCCAACTAGGTTTTCAATCAACATTTCCTATAGTATAAGTAAGTTTGGGAAAAAAGTGGGGGGGGGGCCCTGGCTCCCCGGTTGCTACGCCCCTGTCAGGGAAGTTTTTCTCTAGTTAAAATACTTAACTCAGAGAGAGAGAGAGTGAAGGACCGGAGCCCATGAAACACACTGTGAAAATTTAACAATTTTGAAATCATATCATAATGATAATCATTAAAACATGGATAAGAGAATTTTCAAGAAAAATTAAAAGTTGTTTTAATTTTATAATATCAATCCATTTATTCATTACGAATTAGACATACTGGCATTTCAGTTGATACATGTATATAGTTATTGTGTTTATTTATAATACTATAGTATTGTATTTTGGACACATAGAATTACATTGATATCGATATAATGATTTACATAGTCCATGTAAAAATACGTACCTATATAGAGCAATTGCAGAATCAATGATGGCTTGCAAAAGCTAAATTAGTTTTAAATCTATAATTACTCCAGTGAAATAGGAATGAACAGTATTATGGACAGAATACTTTAATTATAATACTGGAACATTTTACAAATTAAAATTTTTATGCTCTATTAATATACAATGTAATATTTATACATGCAATTAAAAGAGAGAATCAAAGATACATTAACTTAAGTTAAAGTACATAAACTCGGTTGATGGCATAGTTACCGAATATTTTTTTCATTCTCTAAAATACTAGTATAAAAATGGATATTGTTTGAGGATTTTATTGAAACATTATCAATTTCAAACAACAACAAAATTATCCAGGACCTACAGCATGTAGCATCGTTTTTAAAAACTTAATATGGAAGGGGATGGAGTGGTGGTGAGTACAGTTAATTTGGTGATGAAAATATTCAGCCCAAAAGAGAAATGCTGAAAGTTGAAGTCAGTCCATAAATTACACAGCTTTATTTTTACAGAAAACAGATAACTGCAATAATAATGGTAGGGTTGACCCCCCCCCCCCCTCTCCAACCCTCTACGAAGAAATACTGGTACATCTTTTAAAAAATCTTACCCAACTTGTATTCAAAATTCTCAGTTAAAAATTTCTAGTTCATACCACCTTTTGCGGAAAAAGTCTGCACCTTCGATGGATTTAACTACCTTTCTAATTTCCTTTATAATACGGTGTGCTGTATAAGAATTTTCACGATTTTTGGCATATCATATAGTCATGTACATGCTTATGAATAGGTATTGTATCGTATAAGTATAAAATAATCATTCTTTTAACTCTTTATGATTAAAACACATGCCTTTTTTCCAATGTGTGTACAGACTAAGCACTTACGCCTACTCACGAGCAGGCCTAGATTTAAACCCAAATTTAGTCTCGACTAAGTCTCCGCCTTTTTGTGAAACGCCACTTAGTCCGATTCTCGGGTTTAGTCACTGACTTAGTCCGGACTAAGCTTACGACTAGTCGTAGGCCTTTTTGAGAAACGAGCCCCAGCTGAACTCTATGTCATACAATACAGATATCATATGGCATTAAGCTTGACTTTCTCTCATTATTGAATCTTTAATGAATTTATAACAGTTTATGTGACCACCTTTCATCACATAGTTTCATTGTGAAAAGCCGGAAAACAAGGGTAGTCGAGACACTGCATCAAAAATAAATGGTAAAGAATCAGTAAATTAAAGTCAAATTAAACCGTTCATTATAGCTGCTGTAAAACTTATTAAGAATCCCAAAGAAATACTCACTGAAATATGTAAAAATTACAGCAATCAATGTCTGTTTTATAGTTTATAGACCATTGAGCAGGTGAATTTCAATGATAAAAATTATATAATGGGCATCAAAAATGGATACCGTCCTTGCAAACAAAAAATTAAACAACTAATGTACTGTTTGCCAAATTTCAATAAAAAATCATTGATGGTGTATGATTGACTGTACGACACAAAGCAAATTTGATAGACATCATTTCGGGAGCAGGTCTCACTGCTTTAAAGAAAGGTTTGACAGTAAAAAAAAAACTTAGTACTCAAAAGTCACCTTATGTTTAAAAAAAAATGAGTGAAAACGGCTGCGTGTAAGAATATCTAAACAATTATTAAAAATATCAGTAACTGTAGTAAACTGTAGTTATCCACTTTTGTTTGAATTTCAAACAGATAAACTTCAATCTATTACTTAAAACCCTCAAAACAAAATGTACAATGAGTTGTACTTGACAAAAACAGCAAAGGTCTGAGAAGAGCAGAGAATTGCAAAAGCATAAATACAGATTTATATGCACTTTTAGTAAATATAAGTGGTCTTGTTGTTTATATTAGTGTTCGGAGAGACAGTTTAATTGCTGGAGGAATCTAGAAGTAATTTTTTTGCAAAAAAATCAAAAGGTTGATGAGAATCAAAAATCCTCTATGTTAGATTGTTTCATGACAGCGTCCAACCCCGCACACACTGAAGAGTAAAAAAAGTCTTGGGGATAAACAAAAAGTTAATGTTCTTTCACATTAACAATATTCGCTAGATCTTTCGCCTTTTGACTTGTTTCATTTTTCAAA